GATGATCTGTTCAGGTCCATTCTGACTCTAGAAACTATGAAACTATGAAACACCTTCTCCTTGTGACTGAGTGAGATAGCAACTAAGGCTGTGTGAAGCTTCAATCCATGATTTGATTCAGCAGAGATTCAGCCCGATTCGGTGGCCAAATCTCCAAATCCAAATTGAATCAGGAGACCATTTAATCTCTCCATATCAAATTGGAACCCTCTGATTGCTGCAATCTGCATTGTTTGAGCCATGCCTACCTGATTGCTGCAATCTGCAGGAATCTTTGTGGAAATTCATTGTAACCATGAGGCCCAGGTGAAAGCATGTAAATATCATACATTCAGGGTAAGATTAAGGTGCATAACAAACTTAGATACAGCACATGGTTTTCATGGATTTAGGAAGTGTGGAATTATGTTGTGCTTACACCATGAAGTCACAGAAAATGACACTTCACTTAGAAGTAGAATAGGATGTGGGTCCAAATCAGACATTATGGCTAGGGACAGACATGCAAAAAGCCTGAATTGATTCAATCTTTGCAGGTTAGTCTAACCTGATTAGGCTGAACTGGTTTGAAACTGGACAGACATTCTTTCTGGACTGAGGAAATTCAGGCACATGCCTGCAGTGGCTCAGACGAGAAGCCAGGGGGTGCTAGAGTAGCCCTCCCTTCCCTTCTGCAGGGAGCTGAGCTGATGGGGGAGTGGCCAGGCCTCAGCAGGACTCTCTCATTAGGGGTGTCTGCCTGCACGGTCCCAGGCTTTTCCCCGTTGGCTGCTCAAGGGGTGGGATTGTCGTCAGCCCCCAGGCCTGGGCTAGCTTCAAACTTCTTAAACAGCTTACTGGCTGACCTGTTAGCTCCAAAAGCCCTAAGCAGCCACTGTTCTGTCTGCCTATCCTAGTGATATTGGAGTATTCACACCCCCCCCCTCGGCATTAACTAGCATACCACATGCTGGCTATGGTCCCTGCTGTGGCAGAGAGGAGGAAAGGATCTCTGTTTAAGCAGTGAGTGTTGAGAGGGAGGGGTAGGGGGAAGCCAGCAGACCCTGCTGTGCCTGCAAAGTCTGTGCTGAGCTCCAGCTGGGGAACAGAGGGGAGGGGCCAGCCCTGCTGTGGAGCAGAGAGCCCTGCTCAACCCAGAGAGCATGCCAGCATGTTGGAAGAGTGAGATTTAACTTAAACCAGCAAGGAGTCTGGGACAGACATTACATAAACTGGTTTAACCCAAATAAGTAAAGTCTGATGCTACATTCAACCAAGTTAATCTCAAACTGGTTTCAGCCATTTTCAAACTGGTTTATGTGCACTGAACATCGGTTGTGTCCCAGGTTTAAACCAGTTTCTGATCACTTAAACTGGTTTATGTGTAATGTCTGTCCCTAGTCTATATGTGATTTAAAATCAGACTTAGAAAGAAACACACTCAGGGAGCTACTCTGCCAAACTTTGTTCTATTTTCGGTCATCGGAGGAAAAACTTTACAGGTTCTGCTGTGCTGTTCTTTACATCAACAGAAAATAGATGTAAAATTAAAACATTAGTTTAACTTTACATCTTCAGATCATACACGATCTTCTTGTAGGTACAGTTCATAAAACTTTGTTCTTAAAAGCATTTGCTCTGTCACACCTCCTCTGAGGAGGGTAACCCTTTTTATATTCCAGCCAAGCCTTCAAACAATAATAGAAGCAGCTTGAACCTCCCATTGATTGACTTTTTTTTCTGTTACCAGTCAGAGAAAGCTGTTCCTACCAGCTGTACACCTCTATGTCTGATTTTAGAGGTGCTCAAAATTTGTCAAAGGATTTCACTCAGTAACAGTCTGCAATTAGCTTGAGAAGTTTGATTCTTTCTATTCTTTTTAGTTTCTGCATAAAAAAGATAAAGAAATAGCGCCTGTTCGCTATGGTAGGTACATGAGCTATAATTTGCAATGAAATATCATGAACTATGTCATACTACAGAAGCCTTTAATTAGAGTAATTTAACACATTGTAACTTACCAATGATTTTGCATTCAGTATATTTTAAACAGCTGAGCCCTGAAAAAAATGCAGTGATTTGCTCACTACTACATATCAATGGGCTTCTGCAGCTGTGGATTCTCACACACATCTAACTTGCACAAACAGCCAAATAATTCCCTGGGAAATGGAGAGAGTTATAGAAATAATATCAGGGGAGGTAGTAGGAAAATGGATTAACTGTTGGGCTTCCTGTTCTGATTCTGCAGTGTTTGTACCCGGTTACAGATGTCAGTGCCTTCTTAAAGATATATATTTTTAAAACCAGGAACTCTTTATGGCTCTGCAAATTACATTACATTATTAGGCTTCACAAAGCAGTTGCTTTTTGCATACAAGCAAACCTACATTCAGTGCTTATTAGTGTCCATCAATACCAGCCCTTTGTCAGCCAGAGAAAGGTGTTGTTTAAGAATGTATTAGTGTCATAGCAATCTGGAAGGAAAAGCACAACAGGTGTTACTAGTTGTAAATGATAAAGATGAAGCCAGCTGCAAAATGGCTGCTTTAGAGCTGCTATTGCTTGTTTCCACTAAATGTAAAGCTCAATGTAAATGTACTAAATTTCCACTAAATGTAAATGTAATTTCAGAAAAATATGCTGGACAAAGTGTCTGTGAGGGCAACTCTGAAGTGAGAAGTGTGCATAAGGATCAGGAAGTCCCCAAGTTCCTTTAGTTTATTGTGTTTATCACCACTGTGTTTTCTATTGTATTGACCTGTGACAGTTTTGAAAGCAAAACCTCAGTTTTTGATTCTCCATTGCCTTAGACCTTGCTTAGTGGCTTTTATCGGTGCTACCAGTGGAGTGGGTTTTCTGATTTGATAGTGCTTTATACACAGTTTGCACAAATGTAAATAACTATGGAATGGGTAGGACAGTAGAATTAAACATAAAATTAAACTTACGGTGTTCTACATTGCACCCATCAGGAAGTCAGTCATATTCTATTAACTTTAACTTTTTCATTTAAAGAAGCATGTAAGTATATTTTACATTGGGAAAGTTATTTTAAAACATTATATAAAACTTCCTGTATTAATATATCTTAAATGTTTATGACATATTGTTTCTGCACATGCTGGATGAATCTAACTTGTAAGGAGTATAAGTAATTCAAAAACCAAGACATTCCTCTAAATACATCTCACTTAGGTCAAGATTATTCTGGTAATATTTTGAAAATGACAAGTGATGTGCAAGAACTAATTATCATATGCATATCATGAGGAAATTCTGCACAGCCAGCCAGAACTTAGGATAGAGGAAGATGTAGAAGCTTTTGTTCAAACTTTACACATAGATTTTTTTAACTGACATTTTGAGTCTGTTCTTTAAGTGACTGTGTTTATGATGGAGGAACAAATGAGGCTTCAGCTGATTAAAATTGGAGACAATCTATTTGGATAGCCATAAAAGAATGTTATTGAAGATAAGCTTCAAAAAAAAAAAAAAAATACTGATGATTATTGTTTGTCTTTGAGGCAAGAGAAAAAAACAATGCCAGAAGTGTTGTTCCTTTCTTATGAGTGAAAATTCCACATCTTACTATTGATATCACACCAGGTGGAGCCTGGGGAGATACAGTAATATCACAGGACACATTTTAGTCACATAGGGATTCAAATCAATGGAGTTACACTGCCATGCAACTGTTATAACAGAGTGGGGAATCAGGCCCATTGATTTAAATGCCATTACTTTTCATTTACAAAAGTGCAACTGAGATCATAATCAAGCATATAGCATCAATAAGTATTTTGCTACATTGTGTGAGAAGGTTTCAGGATCTTTACTGTTTTATTGGCAATTCTTCAAGAAGCTTTCCTGTAATTATGGTTTTGATGTGAAATTTCCAATGCAGCGGCTCCTGTTGGTAGTGCATGATAATGTGCTAGTGCAGAATTATGGCCAAAAAAATAACAACCCTGATACATTGGAAAAACTGACAACACTAGTTATGATATGATGTTTGATTTTTTTTTCCTGCACTTAGTATCCCATGTTCCTCTTGTGGCATATTTACCGAGAGGAAACTAACATCAGCAGTCTATAAAATGTCAAAATTCAACAAACTAGTTTTGCTATACTTTTTGCCTACCTGAAAGGTTAATTTGCTTATGCAGTAATTGTTCCTTGTTCTGCTTAGTTATTCAGAAGGTTACCTCTTTTACTGCCAATCTGCTAACATCTAAAAATGCTGGAAAAGCTTCATAAACTACTCTAACTAGCTGTGATTATTTTCTCCCTTAAAAAGAGAACCTTGACTCTGGGGTTTTTTCCTAGAACAGTGAGGCCAACCTAGAACAGTGAAGCCAACAAATTAGCCCCACACCCTACCCAAAAGCTACTTCCATCCCATTCCCTTATCTGATCTGTTGATTTCTTCTCCCTGACCAAGCTCCCCTTGCCGCTTGTGGCAGGCACCCATGTGCAGTTCTAAAGCATGTTTTCTCTTTATATCTCTTTACTCATTTCCAGTTCATATCCAAATGGCAAAAGGCAACTTTTCTTAATGATTACCAGGCAGAGATTACTACTGAGAATAGGAGATCTAGGGGATGAAATGATTTTTATGGAAGTGGTTCAAAATCATCCCCCGGGCAGTCATTCATTAATGCTTATCTGGCTGCATTCACTGGAGTCTCTGGATCTGACCAGAAAAAAAACCCAAAACAGGTCAGAATAGGAAGTACTTTATAATGAGAGAAGGTTAATTTGTCTATACACTGTTGCAGGCTGCATCAAGGACTCTGTAGACTCCAACCTTTGAGATTTTGCTCAGTGCATCACATACATCAATCTCTCACCTTCCACCTCCCCCACAGACAATGGCTGGTAGAAGGTTTGCTCTATGATTGACTGATTTATTCCCCACAGGTGCAAGTAGGTCATGATTACAAAGATTACAGCAGGTGAGTCAGGCATGGTATAAAAACCCACCACAGGACAGTAGCTCTGCCTGTGCTGCTGTAGGGATGAATTAACAATTTCATGGCAGTGTGTCCAGCCAGGTCCTCTGACCTAAATGCTTGTGCTGATGTGAAGACTTCCTATAGTAAAAGCCTACTATCAGTACCAGAAGGTGGGTAGTTGTTGGGGATATATTTAGCTAATTCTGTAGCATCTTTCTTACTACATTCCTAATTCCTGAAGATCTGTGACTGGTTATATAAGCTTATTGGACATGTGAAACCCATGCTACAAGTCCATAAAAAGAGTTACTTTTTAATTATTTAAGAAATGGATGGTGCTACTAAGGGTTTTATGGAAAAGAGCCTGGTGTAGTCTAACAACTGACTCTGTGGGCTGGAGCTAAATGAATCTTCTCTGCCTGGGGAAAAAAAATTGTCACTAAGAAAGTTTTCAGTGTGTTGTTTTAATTCAGCAATGTGGGATATGATACTGCTTTTTCTTCACAAGGGGAAATCCCCTGGGGTGTCCTCCCTGAGACCAAGAAATATATCATAGTGCTGCCTGTTGGTACAGATAGGAATAATCCTTGTTTAGAGGTTTAAAAATCATCTGTTGCAATTGTGTGTGTGTGTGTGATGCTTTTTTGAACAAGCATGCTCAGCCAAGATCTTTGAGAGAATAAAAAACAAGCCAGACAACAGTAGCAAACAAAACTGAGGGGAGAGGTTCATTGTAATTCACCTGAACTGCAAAAAACTAAGTGCCTACATGTTGTTGTAAGAGAACTGGACTATAAAAGTATTTTTCTTCAAAAAGCTATTTTTTTTTTTTTTTTTTCCTACAAGACATCTTTATTTATGTTAACCCAGCTGTTTATAGGTGCAGAGGCCTAGATGGCTTTCTCCTACTGATCTGAATAAGATTTAGATACCCAAACACCTTCTAAGAATCTGGAGCTTTAGAGTCTTGTAACATAATGTATTTAGCTAGTAACAATAGTGCCTGTGAAGTGGGTGTAGTCCTTGGTTGCTACTAACAAATAGAGCTGTGTCAGCATTCTTGCATTTACATTGAAATTACGATGGCAAACAGCAGGAAGAATAAAATGATCAGCAATAGTCTCATTTTCCCCATCCCCTGCTTTAACCACTTCTTGGCTAATTTCTTTAACCAACTATTTTACCTACTAACTTTAAGTTTGACACCCCTGTACTGGAGTTTATCCAGTCTGGATGAGTGGCATGGGGCCACTCTGCATCCGGGCCATGGGCCCCTCTCCCCCAGCATACCAGATCCAGCAGCTGGTCCAGAGGGCCTGAGAACTGTGCTGCATACAGTGAAGATCTCTGAGCAGCTGGAATAGGCAGCACATGTGGCACAGTCTGGCTGGAGCAGCAATGAGAGCAGTCTTGGGATCCGTGCCCCATGCAGCACACCTGGATTGGATAGAGCAGGGAGCATGTGTGGTACAGTCTGCCCAGGATGACTGCTTCATGCAGCGTGACTGCTGCTCCGGCCAGACTGCGCTGCATGCGATGCCTGTTCTGGCTGCTCTGGGCTCTGCACTGCATGCAGTGTGGGTCCCAGACTGGAAGGAGCCACCCCTGGACCAGGGATGTTGGGAAGAGGGGAGAAAGGAGGAGAGTATCTATGGGCTGGATCTGGCCCTGTGCTGTGCCCCATGTGGGTCTGATTATAGAAAGCTAGGGTTAGAAGGGACCTCAGAAGTTCATCTAGTCCAACCGCCTGCTCAAAAGAGGATTGTCCTGGCCAAAGCTTTATCCAGCCAAATTTTAAAAACCTTCAAGGATGGAGCTTCCACCACCTCTGGGTATCCTCTTCCAGGGTTTTCTTTCCTCCTAGTGAGAAAATTCTTCCTAATATCTTATCTAAACTTCTCTTGCTGCAATGTTGCTTCTTGTCTGCCACCACTGAGAACAGACTAGCTCCATCCTCTTTCTAATCCCCTTGCAGGTAGCTGAAGGCATGCTGATGACTCAATCAGCTGCTTGTCCACTGTGACCCCCCCGCCCCCACCCCAGTCCCTTTCTGCAGAGCTGCTGCCGGTGGAGGATTGTTCCATCCTAAGTACAGGACTTTGCACTTGTCCTTGTTGAACCACACAAGACCCCTTTTGGCCCAATCCTCCAATTCATCTAAGTTGCTCTGAATCCTAATCCCACCCTCCAAGGTATCTACTACTCCCCACAGCTTGATGGCATCTGCAGACTTGCTGTGGGCGCACTGTATACCATCTTCCAGGTTTATTGCTGATCTGTTTTCCCACTTAACCATAAGTGTCAGAAATCAGTAGAAATAAGAGACAGAACAGAGGGTGGGTTAGTTGGTTGCTTTTGTTTTGTTTCTGGTTTTGTTGTTTTGTTTTTTTTAAATGGTGCCATGCCTTATTATGGAACTGATGGTGAAAATAGCTTTATGTGACCTCTCTGTGCCATCAGCTGTCTCTAGAAAGCTGATCTACTGCCTCTTTAAATCCCATAATAAGCCTGAATAACATCTATAAATTTCTTTTCTGTAGTTGTGACAAATCATTGAGCACATTGTTAGAGGCATGAGCTACATTGCACAGCAGTGTTTCCTTTTGTCTTCTCTGGGTGAGCCGCACTTCTAATCCTGGAGAAAAGAACTGTCCATGCAAATTCAGAATTGTGGAATATTTGTGAAATGCACACTGTTGCTTACCTTGTAGCACTAGATAATTCCTATAGGTATTCCTTTCTGTGAACTCCCTGCTAGACTTATTTTTCTACAAAAACTAGCCTGTTTGCTTTAAAGCTCTAGAGTGCTAACGGGCTTGTATCCAAAGAGATGTTGTAACATCCAAAATGGATTGGTCACACAGTCTGCTGGTCATCCTTACCAAAATCCGTGGTAATTACTGTGAGTTTTTTCTCCATGTCATCTTTCTGCTATAGTATGGTTTGTTTGGTGTTTTGCTATATTGAAATGCCTGTATAAAAGGTGTAGTGGAGCTGGCTGGACTGCAAAATAGTGTTTTCTGCTGTGGACCTCTGGGCTGTCTCTAACTGCATGGGAGGCTTTTAATGAGAGTAAATACAAAAGAATTATGATGCTTATACCATTTTCATTCTTTTGTAAACTTACCCCTTAACAGTACCAGTGCATTTGAACCTTCTTACTGTACTGCCAAAAGCCACAGCAAGCAAAAGCTGCATGTAACAGCAGCAGCTGAATAGCTTTAACTCCTCTTTAAGAACATTTAGAAGCAGTAGTAAAATCATTTTGAGACCCATCAGAGAATGAGCTGCTTCCCCTGCCCCTAACTTCTCAGCAAGATGCATTAGAATAAAGAAGTTGTATTTAGGGACTTGCTTTTAATTGTAGTTCTGCGAATTTCACAGAAACCACAAAAATGGCAGTCTCCATGATTGCTGTGAAAAATGGCATTGGCTACGAGTTCTGAAGAAGTCATGGATGCTATGGTCAGAAGGGACCTCAACAGATCAAGTCTGACCTCCTGCCTAGGCAGGAAAGCATGCTGGAGTTGGATGACCCCAGCCAGATGCCTATCCAGCCTTCTCTTAAAGACCCCCAAGGTAGGGGAGTCAACCAAGCCCCCTCCACATCTAAAAATTAAATGATGGCTTCCCTTGCTGCTGCTATGGCCTGGCCTCCCAGCCCACTGGGAGGTGAAGGTACCAGCTGCTGGGGTGGCATGAAAGGAAGCAGCTTTGTTTTGCATGGTTCATGAGATTAACTGCTTTTCCAAAGATGGTAAACATTACTGCCTGCCTGACCTACTCAGTTTAGATAAGGAACTAAATAAAGTGGTACAAATGGTTCATAACAAAGAATTGTGATCCAAGTGTCTGCTTGCACATTGAATGAAAGTGCACAGTTTTTTGTGTCATCCATTAATAATGAAAATAGCTTCACACTTTCAAATAAGCTTATAAAAACTGAACAAAAAAAAATAGTGAAAACATGAACAATGGACTTAAATAGGCTTGGTCAGAGCTACTGGTGAAATATATGCAGAAAATGGGTACGCTGCTATGATTAGTAGAAACTAGGCAAGAAAGCATCTGGGGGATGCTTGGGGAAGAGGTGATCTACAGTCTGACGAGAGAAAATAGTGCTTGCGGCTAATGCTGTTCTCCTTATTTTGGAAAACTTTTTTCTTATGCATTAGAAGTGACTGAGTGACTCTTCAACATTGTTTCAGAAAACTGTTGTTAAATTCCCTACTCCTATGCTTACACAAACACTGCATCTACAATTAAACACCAAAAGATACTAACTTGCACTTCTGTGATACAATACCATTTTATATTGGTATACTTCACTGCAGTCTGAAGTTCTGGCTTCTTTCCAAAAAAAGGAAGGAATAGTAATACAGAATTAACTTGCTAAGGAAAACAATTTAATGTGTTGAACAGAGTCTTCTAAAGAGACTTCTATAATGGCATAGTTCTGGAGAGCAAAATAGCAGCTTTTGTTTAATTTTAGATGGTGTATTTGTGGTCTAACATACAAATATGGAACTGAATAAAACAAAATATGCCAGCTGCTCTGGTATTGTTGATTGTTTCAAGTCAATGTTTCTATTCTTTGCCCAAGTGCAGATCTGAAGTGCTTTTTGTTTGTTTGTTTCTCTACTTTCTTAAGAAGCAGTGTTCCTCTTAATGACAAAAGACATGTACTTTACAGAATGTATTCCTAGTTATCAAAGCAGAGGTAGTTTCTGGAGTTGTCTATAAGTCTGAATAAGAAGCCTTTTTGTTGTTGTGTTTTTTTTTTCTTGTGGGGCCTGCTGGTGTGCTTGCTCAGAAAAGCAGTAACTTGTATAACCTGCACTAGGGAGATCCTGACCTATTCGGGATAAACTGTGGAAAGTGTACTATTCTACAGAAGTCTTTGTTTGCAGGGTAGAAAAAGTTGTTGAGGTTATGGCTTAAAATTGTATAAGATCTACACTGCTTACATGCTTAAATACTTGCAAGGAAGTGTTTGCGGGTACTACAACAAAATACTAATGAGATAAATCTGAATTTTTTTCGAGGCATGTTCTTCTCTTGTTTAAATCATGGGGTTTTTTAAGGCAATTGAAAATGATAACTACAATTTATCCAACTTGTTTTTCTTAATGCTACCAATCAAAATTGTCCCATCCTGAGATTCATTCTA